GGGCATGCAGGGGAGGACATTTGAGGATGACCGAGCCTGCAGGGGAAGACAGTTGGAGGGCACCAGGCCTGCAGGGAGGGCAGTTGGGGACAATTGGGCCCAACAGTTTAAATATGCAGTTAGGCGTCAATCAGGCTGGCAGGGAAGTGGTTAGGAGATGATCAGGCTGGCAGGCAGAGGCGTTTGGGAGTAATCAGGCACACAGGCAGACGGTTGGGAGCCAGCAGTCCTGAATTGTGAAAGAAATGTCCCGGATTGAAGAGGGTGCAGGCTGGGCTGAGGGTGAGCGGGCAGGGTGGGGCGAGGATGAGCACCCGACTCCGCCCCGCAGGACGGAGTTATCCCTAGCCCTCAACCAACCAATCAGGGTTAGCCGAGGCAGTGACATCACCACCGACTGGAGTAAAACCCCTGGACTGGGTGAAATTCGCTCTCTCTTCCACCACGCTGCCGGCATGAGTGGGACGGAGCCCATGCTAGCATGCAAAAGGCTCTTTTGTTTATTGCATCAGACTCAGCTCCCTGGTGGTCCTTGGGGATCACAAAGTCTGGGCATAACATATGGGGGCTCATCCGGGATCCCCAGTCAGGACCATGAGGGACCCCGATCCGAAGAGCCTGACTAGCCGCGGTAGGTGTGTGTGCGCTCTGGAGGGACGTAAAACCCCTCATGGAATTGGTGCCCTAATACGCCTGGTGGATGCACCATGAAGGCCACGGCCAGGAGGTTTCAGAAGACGTTCTGACCTCCCGGGAGGGCCCTAGAGGGACCCTCGTGAGGAGAGGGATAGAAGCCTCTCCCAGGACGAGGTGAGCGGCATGAAGCCGTTGCCTCACCTGCGGAACCTTTCCCAGGTCTGAGTTTGGTATCTGCGGGCTACATGGCGCCCCAGGATTGAGCCGGCAGAGTGTTGCCGGCGTGGTGGTGTGGGGCCCCCTGGCAGCGTTGGGTCGGAGGGGGGGCTCCCACGTGGCTCAGTCTGCACGGTGGAGCAAGGCTGGGCAGTGTTGGCCTTGCTCGAGGAGCAGGCACTTGGGTTAATTTGCTGGCTGCCTGGAGAAAGGGAGGCGGAGCTGGGAAGCCACTGGGGCGACCTGTGCTTTCTCCTCAGGGTCCCCTGAGTAGGGTGGCTGGGGCGGCAGCAGTAGCCTCGCTCCGGGGGCCTGGACCCTGGGGGCCTGGGCCAGTGTGGAGACATAGAGTACGGGAGAAGAGCTCAAGGGCAAATTTCTGTCCTCAGTAAAGAGAAAAGGCCAGTTCAAAACGAGTGCGCATAGTTTTGGGCTGTGTTTAAAACGCTTTTCTGTGTACAGAATGAGCTTTAAAAATGGTGGAGATTAACTGGGAGATAAATTAAAACTGGTTTCCCAAGTCATTGTAAGCAGCTTTTTAAATTCCCCACCGTGAGGCAGAAACTAGATGGTAATGGTAACAAGTTTACGTGAATGGCCATGAATGGCTGGGAGTATTCAGCTAAAGAATGTGTTCATTTGCATTTGAATGCTACTCCAGTGATCTGCAGGGAGTGGCAGGTGGTTCCGTGGTGAAGCAGCCCAGATGACCTTGCTTACAATGGTTAGTCTTCCTTGTCATTGGTATCAGCTAAGCAGAGTCATATAGCTGCTTAAGTATGAATTGTGATTGACCTATGAACAAAATTCATTCTTTTTTCTGACATTGTCTTAAATCCTAGTAAACTGCCTCTGGTGCGGAGAGGTCTAGGGGAGGCCGGAGAGCGCAAGACTATTAGCTCTCCTGCAAAGAGATTATTCAGTGCTTTGTTTGAACTTCAGAAAAAAAATTTTGAGATCTGAAAAAATGTGTGACCAGATCTGTTGCTGAAACTTTGCCCTAAGTAAGCAGGATGTATTAGAAATGTAATGTTATTAATCTAAAAAATGCCAAATATATTTGACTTGCCGGCTTTAAAAGTTCAAAATATAAATTGAATTAGGAAAAGTTAATTGCAGTAACTAAATGCCTAGAATATGGCAGGCTAAACTGTATTATATGTGTTAAGAATAAGCAATATTGATCAAAGATCTCAAGGATTGATTTATTCTCATTTGTCAGATGAAAAAGTATGTAATGCTTACACTTAAAAAATTATTTTAAGTCAGTGGTGCAGTATTTTTTGAAGTCAGTTTTTCTGAAGTAATGTTTAATGTAACATGAAACTTTTATATTTGATCTGTTTTGTTTTGCTTTGCATTGTAAGTTTGAATTTGGGCTTGTACCTGCATCTTGTATTTTTTTTTAAACTGTGGGAATCATTTTTGGTTTCAGTCATGGGTGTCTACTTTATAGATTTAAATAGACTTCATCACAAAGGCTTATAATTTATTTAGAATTGTGTTAAAACAATTATTTGTATGATTTAACCCCATGACTGCTTGGACAATTTTCACCGATGTTCTGCGGGGTGGGAGGGAGGGGGAGAGAAGAGGGGGCTTAGAAATGCAGATAAATCTGTATCTGTAAGAAAAATGTGGCATTTTAAATTTCAAGCGGCTGGAGGCCTGGGACCAGGTACTGGACCTGCTCCCTCCTCCCTTGCCTTTTCTTTAAAATTTGAGGCATGGTTATGTATTTTTGGAAGATAAGATTTTTATAAAAGTTATAAAGAGTATGTCCCGACAGGTTAGCTAGGAGAGGCAAGCCTGTTAGTTTCCTGATGGGCATTGGGGCAGTCTATTTAGTCTTGAGAGAGCCAATAGGACCCGTACATCAGCCCAGGAAGCCACCGGACAAACTGCCTGTTTTCCTTGGACATCAAGAAGGCTCTCATCTCAGCAGCTGCCCTAACCTCGCCGGATGTCGCGAAGCCCATTCACCTCTATGTGAGTGAGGTAAGAGGCATTGCCAAAGGGGTTCTCACTCAGACTCGAGGTCCCTGGTGGTCCTTGGGGATCACGAAGTCTGGGCGTAACAAGGGACACACAACCCTGCTCCTGTGCATGAATTTCATGCAGTGGGCCTCTAGTAGATATATAAATGTACATTGCTACTTTTTAATTTGTATGTAGATTTTTTAAAATCTATGCAATTTTTAAAAAAATGTATTTTGTTGATTTTATACAGAGATGAAGGGAGAGAGTTAGAAACATAGATGAGAGAGAGTCATCGATCAGCTTACTGGGGATATGCCCACAACCAAGGTACATGCCCTTGACCGGAATCGAACCTGGGACCCTTCAGTCCCCAAGCCGATGCTCTATCCATTGAGCCAAACTGGTCCCAGCAAAATCTATGCAATTTTTAATTTTACAAATATTTCTTTGATGTCATATTTAGATATCTCATATTACTACATAAAATATCTACTACTGTATCTTAAGATTTCATTCATGTCTTTGTAAAATTATTTTACTTCCTCTCTGGCCCGTATCTATTTATATTGCCTTATAACTCTCTATATAACGCTCCAAAACATCTAATGTTCCCAAGTTCCATTATTGGCCTCACCAGCTCTAGCAAAATGTAGCTGTGTGGGGACAGGTGGAGGCGGGCAAAGGAGGGGGAGGGAAATGGGTGATGAAAGAAACTTGCTTGAGGCAATAGGTGCCCGAGGCAGTGTGCAGACATAGTTATGGACTTGTACACTTGAGACCCGTATGGTTTTATGGACCAATGTCACCCCAATAAATTCAATTTTAAAAATGTAGCTCTCTTTTCACCTTTCCTTTTCCATTGCTAATGATCTTATTTAAGCCTCCACAGAGCCACACCTCTTCCACATTGTCTTCTACATACAATTCTTTTTCCAAATAATTATGCCTCACTGGCTCATGGCCTCAGCCCCCAGGTGCAAGCACATCCCTAGTCATTCCAAGGGCCCTGGGCACGCTCTGTCTGCCCTTTGTCTCTTTGTTCCGTCCCCTCCTGCGGTGCTTTGCAGGGAACAAGCCTCTAATGTCTGACCTTTTATGAGTAAGGACAGACCTGGTGCGAAACAGCCCCCAAATGCAAAAACAGAACTTCCCAGAAAAAAAGCTAAATAAAATGGAAGCAAGCAATTCATCAGAGTTCAAAGTAATAGTTATAATGATGCTCAAGGAATTTAAAAAGAACATTAAAAAGAACGTCAATACCTTTTAAATCATTTTTATTTTTCCTAGATATGAATATAAAAACCTTAATCTGAAAAATTGAAAGGATAAAATAAGAATAACAAAGGGAAAAAGAAATGTGATTTAGAAAGTAGGAGACAATTTTACAATATATAGAAGTATAAAGTTTTGTACAGCTGGCATTAATATGTTATATGGCAAATTACAAAAAAAAGAAACCTAGGAGGCAAACTACAGATATTTAAAACAATCCTGAATACAGGTTTGTTTGGAGTCTAATAAACCCCATACGTTATAGCACATCTAATAGTTCTGTGAGGAAATAGAAATGTTCCCCAAACGTGGTCACCTCCCACTTCCACGTATTTTCTTCCAGCTCTGGTTCCGAGGGAGCGGCCGGTCACATTCCGGGGAGGGGTCCGGGGAGGGGTCCGTGTGCGGAGGGCGGCTCGGCCCGTCAGACCCGGGCTCCGGGGAGACGGCCGCTCCGCCGGCTCCGGAAGGGCCACGAACACGCGTGCCCCCGACCCGCGTGGGCAAAGCGCCCAGAGTGCACCGCTCCGCACAGCGCCCGGAGCCCCGGCCGCGCGGGCCGCTCCGCGGTGCTGGGCGCCGCCCCTGCCGTTGGGCGCCCACAGAACCCGCGGGGGCCGGAGTCCAACAGACGCCGGCGGGGAACGGCCGCCATTCCGCTCGGAGGAAAGGCACGCTTCCCTCCGGCTCGCAGGGCCGCCCCGGGCAGGGGGAGCCTGCCGGAGGCCCCGCCGGGACTCGGTGCGGTCACCACACACAGACCCGCCCCGGCCCCCGCGACCATCGTCAGGCCCCGCCCGCCTCCACGTGACCGCGCGGAGCGGCGCAGGCCCAGTCACGCGATCCGCCGTCATATCAGCTTATGGCCGCGGCCCCTGATTGGCTGGCGGCTGGGGGGGCGGCTGGCCCCGCCCCCAGCAGCACCGCTCGGCGCCCGGCCGGACGCGGACCCGCCGCCGGACGCGCAGCAGCCCCACCCGCGGCCCCGCACAGGTAGGGCGGCGGCGGGAGGGGAGGCGGGAGCGGAGCGGGCGTCGCCCGGCCGGGAGGCGCCCGGGTGGGAGGCGGCACCTGCCCTTTTGGGCCGGACGCGGCGCTGGTGGCGCCTCCGGGGACGGACACCTGGCGGTCCTGGGGACGGAGGCAAAAGTGACCCCACGGCTCCGCGACGTCCGCGGGCACTTGGTCCTGTGGTTCCCCAACTGTCCCTGTGCTTCCCGGTCAGCGCAGCCGCAGGTGGCGGGCACCCCGGAAACAGGCCGGAGGACGGGCGGGGCGGGGCTGCTGGCCCGGCTCGGGGCAGGAGCCAGAGGCCAGTGGGGGGGCAGAGGCCAGTGGGGGGGCAGAGGCCAGTGGGGGGACAGAGGCCAGTGGGGGGGCAGAGGCCAGTGGGGGGGCAGAGGCCAGGGAGACAGAGGCCAGTGGGGGGTCAGAGGCCAGTGGGGGGGCAGAGGCCAGTGGGGGGGCAGAGGCCAGTGGGGGGATCAGAGGCCAGGGGGACAGAAGCCAATGGGGGGCGCAGAGGCCAGTGGGGGGACAGAGGCCAGTGGGGGGGGCAGAGGCCAGTGGGGGGAGCAGAGGCCAGGGGGACAGAGGCCAGTGGGGGGGCAGAGGCCAGCGGTGTGGCAGAGGCCAGTGGGGGGATCAGAGGCCAGGGGGACAGAGGCCAGTGGAGGGGGGCAGAGGCCAGTGGGGGGGCAGAGGCCAGTGGGGGGGCAGAGGCCAGCGGTATGGCAGAGGCCAGTGGGGGGATCAGAGGCCAGGGGGACAGAGGCCAGTGGAGGGGGGGCAGAGGCCAGTGGGGGGGCAGAGGCCAGTGGGGGGGGATAGAGGCCAGGGAGACAATGGCCAGTGGGGGGACAGAGGCCAGTGGGAGTGGGGGGCCAGAGGCCAGTGGGGGTGGGGGGCCAGAGGCCAGAGGAGGATCAGAGGCCAGTAGGGGGGCAGATGCCAGTTGGGGGGGAGAGCAGAGGCCAGTGGGGGGGCAGAGGCCAGTGGGGGGACAGAGGCCAGTGGGGGGGGCAGAGGCTAGTGGGGAGACAGAGGCCAGTGGGGGGTGGGGAGCAGAGGCCAGTGGGGGGGCAGAGGCTAGTGGGGGGTGGGGAGCAGAGGCCAGTGGGGGGGGAGCAGAGGACAGTGGGGGGGGAGCAGAGGCCAGTGGGGAGACAGAGGCTGGGGGGTAGGGCAGAGGCCAGGGAGGGCCAGAAGCCAGTGGGGGGCCAGAGGCCAGTGGAGGATCAGAGGCCAGTAGGGTGGCAGAAGCCAGTTGGGGGGGGAGCAGAGGCCAGTGGGAGGGCAGAGACCCGGGGGGGGGGGGAGCAGAGGCTAGTGGGGGGGCAGAGGCCAGTGGGGGGGGAGCAGAGGCCAGTGGGGAGGGAGCAGAGGCCAGTGGGGAGACAGAGGCCAGTGGGGGGGGGGGCAGAGGCCAGTGGGGAGACAGAGGCCAGTGGGGGTGGGGGAGCAGAGGCCAGTGGGGAGACAGAGGCCAGTGGGGGGGAGCAGAGGCCAGTGGGGAGACAGAGGCCAGTGGGGGGGGAGCAGAGGCCAGGGGGACAGAGGCCAGTGGGGGGGGAGCAGAGGCCAGTGGGGAGACAGAGGCCGGGGGGTAGGGCAGAGGCCAGGGGGGGCCAGAAGCCAGTGGGGTCGCTGTCCGGCTGGAGCAGGTCTTTGGGCACCGGGAAGCCCGGGCGTGTTAGAAACTGGGCTGAAGAGAAGGAAACATTTGGGGGGCTGTTGTGGGCCCCTTCCCCAAGGAAGTCTGTCCCGGGGGCACATGCTGCGCTGTGAGGCGGGTGCCCTCTGTTCCCGGAGACATGTCTTCCGATGGTTTCCTAAGGGCAAGGCTCGGGCTGAAGAGCAGGTTTCTGTGCCTTCTTCAGGGACCACTGCGGTGGGCCGGTTAGTACAGGAAACTAGGTTGGGGTGGGGGGTGCAGTCCACAGTTTGAGAAGATTCGAAGGTATAATCTATTACGATAGCACCCCGGAAGGAAAAGCCCTGCCACTAGCACTCGAGATTGTATAGAGGACCATATTACCTCGGTTGTCAGATAAAGTTTTGGTAGCTGGGTGTGTTTAGCCAAAACCTGGTAGTTTACTGAAAAGAAAAGCACCTTCCTTTCCTTTTCCCCATAACTTTGTAATGGTAAGTCACTACCAACAAGTGCATGACCCTGTACCTTTAAAGAGTGCTTTTCCATCTATCCTGTATTGTAATTAACATAGAATCTCAATTTCCCATCTGCATGTATAGTATAGTATCTTGAGAGATAATATGATGGAATAGCTAAGTGGACAGACTCTGGAATATATATCCCAGCAGCTGCTTGTTTCTGAACAAGTCATTTAGATACTCCTGATATCAGTTTCCCATCTATAAAAGGGGGTATAAAATTGAGAAATAGGTTACAATAATTAAACAATGGAATACATAATATTAAATATTACTAGGGCTTTAAATATTATTAGGGCTGTGAGAAATGAGGTTATGAGAATTAAGCAACGGAATACATAAAAGTGCTTTAAATAATACTTGGTTCTTAGTAAGCGTTAGCTATTAACTATGCTTTTAAGATAAAGCAAAATGGTAATGGTAGACTCAGTCATTCTAAGCTTAATTGTGTTTTATATTGATAATTATATTTTAAGAAAAGATTTCTTTGTTTTGGCAAAAAGTAAAATAATTTTTATTGTAAGCTTGTATTTCTGGCAGAGGTCCTTACCTTTGGGTTTGTAGAGGCCCTGAGGTCAGCCCCTTAAAATTATATGAGCTTGTAGAGTCACTGAGAATTTAAAAAGTTAAAGCGATACAGAGTTGAGAGTAACAAAGAGGCAGTAGAACTTGGTTAAAATCAATCAATTGGCACCTTATTTTTTTAGTTGGTTGAGATAGTTTTAACACATCTGTGACTTCTGTTACAGTAGTAATAATAGCTCCTATAAATTGACTATTTTTTGTGTATCAGCTGATGCCTCAAAACTGTGTTCTTAGTTTTTAAACCTTAAACAGTCTATAATGCAGATATGTTGTCACCACTTTATAGATGTGAATTTGAATCTAAACTTAAAAATGGAGTTGCAGTTTTGCAATCATGCTGCTGTTGATTTCAGAAGATTTTATATTAGATGTAAGAAATTACAGCAATATATTCATAAATGTCTACTTACAACATTCAACAAATAGAATGAATTGAAACCAAAATTCTGAAAACTGCCTGTAGATTGACTGAGGCCTTTTTCCTTCCCATCCAGGCACTGGTTTACCATCTGGTAAAACCTCAGTATAACAGATTCACATTCAGGCGAGGGGTGTCCTTTAAAGCTGAAAATCCGTTATATAATAAACTAGGTTTTTCAAATGCATATATAAAAAAATTGACAATTTAGTTTACCTGTTTTTACTTATGTAGACAGGTTTGTGTAACTAAAATGATGTGTGAAAAGTTTAATTTCATATTAATCTTTCTGTGCTCATTACCTAATGCAGTGTTTGATACTTAATTATTGAATGAATTAACAATGTGTGATGAAGGATATATGTCAATATCTTCCATTTCGTATTAATGAATTAAAATTTTCTTTCACTGACAAAGTGAGGAAAAAAATGTGTGCAGCTCATATCACAAACAAGGGGCTACACCCTAATTCAAAAAGAGCTTTTAGAATTTAATTTTAAGAGACTAAAAACCCAGTGTGAAAATGGGCAATGGACCTAAACACATGATTTGCAGAAAAAAATACAAATTATTCTAAATAGATAAAATTATGCTCAACCTCACTCATAAGACAAATGAAAAATAAATATGCAAGGAGAACCAAGTACAGGTGTTTGCCTATGCCATACATACCTACACCTGTACTTGCTGCCTCCCACAACCACACCAAAATTACAACTAAAATACACAACAACTGCCCTAACCAGTTTGATTCAGTGGATAGAGCGTCCACCTATGGACTCAAGAGTCCAGGTTCAATTCCCATCAATGGTATGTACCTTGGTTGTGGGCACATACCCAGTAGGGGGTGTGCAGGAGGCAGCTGAACAGTGTTGTTCAACAGAAATTGTATGGCCAGAAGCAAGTGGCAAATATTCAAAGTGATGAATAGCAAGAACCTATTACCAAGATTACTCAACCCAGCAAAGCTGTTTCCAATCTTAGCTATTGTAAATTGTGCTGCTATGAACATAGGGGTGCATATATCCTTTCTGATTGGTGTTTCTAGTTTCTTAGGATATATTCCTAGAAGTGGGATTACTGGGTCAAATGGCAGTTCCATTTTTAGTTTTTTGAGGAAACTCCATACTGTTCTCCACAGTGGCTGCACCAGTCTGCATTCCCACCAGCAGTGCACAAGGGCTCCTTTTTCTCCGCATCCTCGCCAGCACTTGTCATTTGCTGATTTGTTGATGATAGCCATTCTGACAGGTGTGAGATGGTATCACATTGTCATTTTGATTTGCATCTCTTGAATAATTAGTGACTTTGAGCATGTTTTCATGTGTCTCTTGGCCTTCCTTCTGTTTTCTTTTGAAAAGATTCAATTTAGGTCCATTGCCCATTTGTTAATTGGATCATTTATCTTCCTTTTATTAAGTTGTATAAGCTGCCTGAAGATATTGTAGATGAAACCTTTATCAGTGATAACGTTTGCAAATATGTTCTCCCATACAGTGGACTTTCTTGTTGTTTTGTTGCTGTAAAAAAACCTTTTAATTTTTATGTAGTCCCATTTGTTTATTTTCTCTTTAGCTTCCATTACCCTAGGGACAGTATCAGTGAAGAAGTTCTTTCAGCATATGTCTGAGATTTTGCTGCCTGTGGATTCCTCTAGTATTTTTATGGTTTCCTGTCTTATACTTAAGTCCTGTATCCATTTTGAGTTTATTTTTGTGTATGGTATAAATTGGTGATCTAATTTCATTTTTTTGCATGTATCTGTCCAATTTTTCCTAAACCATTTATTGAAGAGACTGTCTTAACTCCATTGTATGTT